CGTCCACGTCCACGTCCACGACCACATCCACGTCCACGTCCATGTCCACGCCCACGTCCAGGTTCACGTCCACGTCCTCGTCCTCCACGTCCACGTCCACGACCAGGTCCACGTCCACATCCACGTCCACGGTCACGTCGACGACCACGTCCACGTCCACGTCCACGTTCACCTCCACGACCACATCCACGTCCACGTCTACGTCCACGTCCAAGTCCACGTCCACGTCCACGTCCACGTCCACGACCACGTCCACGTCCTCCACGTCCATGTCCACGTCCACCACGTCCACGACCACGTCCACCTCCACGTCAAAGTCCACGTCCACGTCCACGTCCACCACGTCTACGTCCACGTCCACGACCACGTCCACGTCCACGTCCACGACCACGTCCACGTCCACGACCACGTCCAAGTCCACGTCCAAGTCCACGTCCACGTCCAAGTCCACGTCCATGTCCAAGTCCAAGTCCACATCCACGTCCACGACCACGTCCACGTCCACGTCCACGTCCACAACCACAACCACGTCCACGTCCACGTCCACGTCCAAGTCCACGTCCATGTCCACGTCCACGTCCACGTCCACGACCACGTCCTCGTCCACAACCACGTCCACGTCCACGTCCACGTCCAAGTTCATGTCCACGTCCACGTCCACGTCCACGTCCTCCACGTCCACGTCCACGTCCACGTCCACGTCCACCACGTCCACGACCACGTCCACCTCCACGTCCACGTCCACGTCCACCACGTCCACGTCCACGTCCACGTCCACGTCCACGACCACGTCCACGTCCACGTCCACGACCACGTCCACAACCACGTCCACGTCCACGTCCACATCCACGTCCATGACCACGTCCACGTCCACGTCCAAGTTCATGTCCATGTTCAGGTCCACGTCCACGTCCACTTCCTCCACGTCCACGTCCACGTCCACGTCCACCACGTCTACGACCACGTCCACCTCCACGTCCACGTCCACGTCCACGTCCACCACGTCCACGTCCAAGTCCACATCCACGACCACGTCCACGTCCAGGTCCACGTCTACTTCCACGTCCACGTCCACGACCACGTCCACGTCCACGACCACGTCCACGTCCAGGTCCACGTCCACGTCCACGTCCACTTTCACGTCCACGTCCACGTCCACGTCCTCCATGTCCACGTCCACGTCCTCCACGTCCACGTCCACTCTCACGTCCACGTCCACGTCCACGTCCACGTCCACACCCACCACGTCCACGACCACGTCCACGTCCATGTCCACGTCCACGTCCACGACCACGTCCACGTCCACGTCCACGTGCACGTCCAAACCCACGTCCACGTCCACGTCCAAGTCCATGTCCACGTCCACGTCCACGTCCACGACCACGTCCACGTCCGTGTCCACGTCCACGTCCACGTCCACGACAACATCCACGTCCACGTCCACGTCCAATCAACGTCCACGTCCACGTCCTCCACGTCCACGTCCACGTCTACGTCCACTTCCACGTCCACGTCCACGTCCATCTCCACGTCCACGTCCACGTCCACGTCCACGTCCACGACCACGTCCACGTCCACGTCGACGTCCAAATCCACGTCCACGACCACGACCACGTCCACGTCCACGTCCACGTCCAAGTCCACGTCCACGTCAACGTCCACGTCCACGTCCACGTGCTCGACCACGTCCACGTCCACGTCTACGTCCACGTCCAAGTCCACGTCCACGACCACGTCCATGTCCACGTCCACGACCACGTCCACGTACACGACCACGACCACGTCCACGTCCACGTCCACGTCCAGGTCCAGGTCCAGGTCCAGGTCCACGTCCACGACCACGTCCACGTCCTCCACGTCCACGTCTACGTCCACGACCACGACCACGTCCACGTCCAGGTCCACGTCCACGTCCACGTCCTCGTCCACGACCACGTCACGTCCACGTCGACGTCCACGACCACGTCCACGTCTACATCCACGTCCATGTCCACGACCACGACCCCGTCCACGTCCACGTCCACGTCCACGTCCACGACACGACCACGTCCACGTCCACATCCACGACCACGTCCACATCCACGACCACGTCCACATCCACGTCCACGTCCACGACCACGTCCACGTCCACGTCCACGTCCTCGTCCACGTCCAAGTCCACGTCCATGTCCACGTCCACGTCCACGTCCACGTCCACGACCACGTCCACGTCCACGACCACGTCCACGTCCACGTCCACGTCCAAGTTCACGTCCACGTCCAGGTCCACGTCCACGTCCTCCACGTCCACGTCCACGTCCACCACGTCCACGACCACGTCCACCTCCACGTCCACGTCCACGTCCACCACGTCCACGTCCACGTCCACGACCACGTCCACGTCCACATCCACGACCACGTCCACAACCACGTCCACGTCCACGTCCACATCCACGTCCACGACCACGTCTACGTCCACGTCCATGTCCACGACCATGTCCACGTCCACGTCCACGTCCACGTCCACGACCACGTCCACAACCACGTCCAAGTCCACACCCACGTCCAGGTCCACGTCCACGTCCTCGTCCTCCACGTCCACGTCCACGACCAGGTCCACGTCCACATCCACGTCCACGGTCACGTCGACGACCACGGCCACGTCCAAGTCCACGTTCACCTCCACGACCACGTCCACGTCCACCTCTACGTCCACGTCCAAGTCCACGTCCACGTCCACGTCCACGTCCACGTCCACGACCACGTCCACGTCCACGTCCACGTCCACGACCACGTCGACGTCCACGTCCACGTCCACGACCACGACCACGTCCACGTCCACGTCCACGACCACGTCCACGTCCACGTCCACCTCCACCTCCACGTCCACGTCCACGTCCACGACCACGTCCACGTCCACGTCCACGTCCAGGTCCACGTCCACGTCCACGTCCACGACCACGTCCACGACCACGTCCACGTCCACGTCTACGTTCAAGTCCACGTCTACGTCCACGTACACGTCCACGTCCACATCTACGTCAAGGTCCACGTCCACGTCCAAGTCTACGTCCACGACCACGTCAACGTCCACGTCCAAGTTCAACTCCACGTCCACGTCCACGTCCACGTCCAAGTCCAAGTCCACGTCCACGTCCACGTCCACGTCCACAACCACGTCCACGTCCACGTCCACGTCCATGTCCTCCGCGTCCACGTCCACGTCGTCCAGGTCCACGTCCACGTCCTCCACGTCCACGTCCTCGTCCTCCACGTCCACGTCCACGTCCTCGTCCTCCACGTCCACGTCCACGTCCTCCACGTCCACGTCCACGTCCACCACGTCCACGACCACGTCCACCTCCATGTCCACGTCCACGTCCACGTCCACGACCACCTTCACGTCCACGTCCCCGTCCACGTCCACGTCCACGTCCACGTCCACGACCACGTCTACGTCCACGTCCACGTCTACGTCCACGGCCACGTCCACGTCCACGGCCACGTCTACGTCCACGTCCACGTCCACGGCCACGTCCATGTCCACGTCCACGACCACGTCCTCCACGTCCACGACCATGTCCACGTCCACGTCCACGTCCACGACCACGTCCACGTCCACGTCCACGACCACGTCCACGTCCACGTCCACGTCCACGAACACGTCCACGTCCACATCCACGACCACGTCCACGTCCACGTCCACGTCCACGATCACGTCCACGTCCACGTCCACGACCACGTCCACGTCCACGTCCACGACCACGTCCACGTCCACGTCCACGTCCACGACCACGTCCACGTCCACGTCCACGTCCACGTCCACAACCACGTCGACGTCCACGTCCACGTCCACGTCCACCTCCACGTCCACGTCCACGTCCACGTCCACGTCCACAACCACGTCCACGTCCACGACCACGTCCACGTCCACGTCCACGACCACGTCCACGTCCACGTCCACGTCCACCTCCACGTCCACGTCCACGTCCACGACCACGTCCACGTCCACGTCCACGTCCACGACCACGTCCACGTCCAAGTCCACGTCCTGGTCCACGTCCACGTCCACGACCACGTCCACGACCACGTCCACGTCCACGTCCACGTTCAAGTCCACGTCTACGTCCACGTACACGTCCACGTCCACGTCTAAGTCCAACTCCACGTCCACGTCCACGTCCAAGTCTACGTCCACGACCACGTCCACGTCCACGTCCAAGTCTAACTCCACGTCCACGTCCACGTCCACGTCCAAGTCCAAGTCCACGTCCACGTCCACGTCTACGTCCACGTCCACGTCCACGTCCACGTCAACGTCCACGACCACGTCCACGTCCACCACGTCCACGACCACGTCCACCTCCACGTCAAAGTCCACGTCCACGTCTACGTCCACGTCCACCACGTCCACGTCCACGTCTACGACCACGTCCACGTCCACGTCCACGTCCACGTCCACGTCCACGTCCAGGTCCACGTCCACGTCCACGTCCTCCACGTCCACGTCCACGTCCACGTCCACCACGTCCACGACCACGTCCACCTCCACGTCCACGTCCACGTCCACCACGTCCACGTCCAAGTCCACATCCACGACCACGTCCACGACCACGTCCACGTCCACGTCCACGTCCACGTCCAGGTCCAGGTCCACGTCCACGTCCACTTTCACGTCCACGTCCTCCACGTCCACGTCCACGTCCTCCACGTCCACGTCCACTCTCACATCCACGTCCACGTCCACGTCTACATCCACCACGTCCACGACCACGTCCATGTCCACGTCCACGTCCACGACCACGTCCACGTCCACGTCCTCGTCCACGTCCACGTCCAAACCCACGTCCACGTCCACGTCTACGTCCATGTCCACGTCCAAGTCCATATCCCCGTCCACGTCCACGACCACGTCCATGTCCGTGTCCACGTCCACGTCCACGAAAACATCCACGTCAACGTCCAAGTCCAATCCACGTCCACGTCCACGTCCTCCACGTCCACGTCCACGTCTACGTCCACTTCCACGTCCACGTCCACGTCCATCTCCACGTCCAAGTCCACGTCCACATCCACGTCCACGTCCACGACCACGTCCACGTCCAAGTCCAAGTCCACGTCCACGTCCACGACCACGTCCACGTGCACGTCGACGTCCACATCCACGTCCACGACCACGACCACGTCCACGTCCACGTCCACGTCCAAGTCCACGTCCACGTCCACGTCAACGTCCACGTCCACATCCACGTGCTCGACCACGTCCACGTCCATGTCTACGTCCACGTCCAAGTCCACGTCCACGACCACGTCCACGTCCACGTCCACGACCACGTCCACGACCACGTCCACGTCCACGTCCACGTCCACGTCCAGGTCCAGGTCCACGTCCACGTCCACGACCACGTCCACGTCCTCCACGTCCATGTCTACGTCCACGTCCACGTCCACGTCCACGTCCACGTCCACGACCACGTCACGTCCACGTCCACGTCCACGACCACGTCCACGTCTACATCCACGTCCACGTCCACGACCACGACCCCGTCCACGTCCACGTCCACATCCACGTCCAAGTCCAAGTCCACGACACGACCACGTCCACGTCCACATCCACGACCACATCCACATCCACGTCCACGTCCACGTCCACGACCACGTCCACGTCCACGTCTACGTCTACGTCCACGTCCACGTCCACGACCACGTCCACGTCCACGTCCACGACCACGTCCACGTCCACGACCACGTCTACGTCCACGTCCACGACCACGTCCACGTCCACGTCCACGTCCACGTCCAAGTCCACGTCCACGTCCATGTCCACGTCCAAGTCCACGTCCACGTCCACGACCACGTCCACGACCACGTCCACGTCCACGTCCACGTCCAAGTTCACGTCCACCTCCAGGTCCACGTCCACGTCCACGTCCTCCACGTCCACGTCCACGTCCACCACGTCCACGACCACGTCCACCTCCACGTCCACGTCCACGTCCACCACGTCCACGTCCACGTCCACGTCCACGACCACGTCCACGTCCACGTCCACGACCACGTCCACAACCACGACCACGTCCACGTCCACGTCCACAACCACAACCACGTCCACGTCCACGTCCACGTCCACGTCCAAGTCCACGTCCATGTCCACGTCGACGTCCATGTCCACGTCCACGACCACGTCCACGTCCACGACCACGTCCACGTCCACGTCCAAGTTCACATCCACGTCCACGTCCACGTCCTCCACGTCCACGTCCACGTCCACGTCCACCACGTCCACCACGTCCACGACCACGTCCACGTCCACGTCCACGTCCACGTCCACCACGTCCACGTCCAGGTCCACGTCCACGACCACGTCCACGTCCACGTCCACGTCCACGTCCACGTCCACGACCACGTCCACGTCCACGTCCACGACCACGACCACGTCCACGTCCACGTCCACGTCCACGTCCACGTCCAAGTTCACGTCCACGTCCAGGTCCACGTCCACGTCCACGTCCTCCACGTCCACGTCCACGTCCACGTCCTCCACGTCCACATCCACGTCGTCCAGGTCCACGTCCACGTCCACGTCCTCCACGTCCACGTCCACGTCCTCCACGTCCACGTCCACGTCCACGTCCACATCCACGTCCACGACCACGTCCACGTCCACGACCACGTCCACGTCCACGACCACGACCACGTCTACGTCCACGTCCACGTCCACGTCCACGTCCAAGTTCACGTCCACGTCCAGGTCCACGTCCACGTCCACGTCCTCCACGTCCACGTCCACGTCCACGTCCACCACGTCCACGACCACGTCCACCTCCACGTCAAAGTCCACGTCCACGTCCACGTCCACGTCCACGTCCACGTCCACGACCACGTCCACGTCCACGTCCACGACCACGTCCACGTCCACGACCACGTCCACGTCCACGTCCACGTCCACGACCACGTCCACGTCCACGTCCACAACCACGTCCACGTCCAGGTCCACGTCCACGACCACGTCCACGTCCACATCCACGACCACGTCCACGTCCACGTCCACGACCACGTCCACGTCCACGTCCACGTCCACGACCACGTCCACGTCCACGTCCACGTCCACCTCCACCCACGTCCACGTCCACGTCCACAACCACGTCCACGTCCACGTCCACGTCCACGTCCACGTCCACGACCACGTCCACGTCCACGTCCACGTCCACCTCCACGTCCACGTCCACGTCCACGACCACGTCCACGTCCACGTCCAGGTCCACGTCCACAACCACGTCCAATTACCACGTCCACGTCCACGTCCACGTTCAAGTCCACGTCTACGTCCACGTACACGTCCACGTCCACGTCTACGTCAAGGTCCACGTCCACGTCCAAGTCTACGTCCACGACCACGTCCACGTCCACGTCCAAGTCCAACTCCACGTCCACGTCCACGTCCACGTCCACATCCAAGTCCAAGTCCACGTCCACATCCACGTCCACGTCCATGACCACGTCCACGTCCACGTCCACGTCCAGGTCCACGTCCTCCACGTCCACGTCCACGTCGTCCAGGTCCACATCCACGTCTACGTCCTCCACGTCCACGTCCACGTCCACCACGTCCACGACCACGTCCACCTCCACGTCAAAGTCCACTTCCACGTCCACGTCCACATCCACCACGTCCACTTCCACGTCCACGTCCACGACCACGTCCACATCCACGTCCACGACCACGTCCACAACCACGTCCACGTCCACGTTCACGTCCACGTCCACGACCACGTCCACGTCCACGACCACGTCCACGACCACGTCCACGTCCACGTCCACGTCCACGTCCACAACCACGTCCACGTCCACGTCCACGTCCACATCCAAGTCCACGTCCACGTCCAGGTTCACGTCCACGTCCTCGTCCTCCACGTCCACGTCCACGTCCTCCACGTCCACGTCCACGTCCACCACATCCACGACCACGTCCACCTCCACGTCCACGTCTACGTCCACGTCCACGTCCACGACCACGTCCACGTCCACGTCCACGGCCACGTCCACGTCCACGGCCACGTCTACGTCCACGTCCACGTCCACGGCCACGTCCACGTCCACGGCCACGTCTACGTCCACGTCCACGACCACGTCCACGTCCACGTCCAGGTCCACGTCCATGTTCACATCCAAGTCCACGTCCACGTCCAAGTCCACGTCCACGTCCATGACCACGTCCACGTCCACGACCACGTCGACGACCACGTCAACGTCCACGTCCACGTCCACATCCACGACCACGTCCACGTCCACGTCCACGACCACGTCCACGACCACGACCACGTCCACGTCCACGTCCACGACCACGTCCATGTCCACGTCCACGTCCACGTCCACGTCTAGGTCCACGTCCACGTCCACGTCCAAGTCCACGTCCTCGTCCTCCACGTCCACGTCCACGTCCTCCACGTCCACGTCCACGTCCACCACGTCCACGACCACGTCCACCTCCACGTCCACGTCCACGTCCACGACCACGTCCACGTCCACGTCCCCGTCCACGTCCATGTCCACGTCCATGTCCATGACCACGTCCACGTCCACGTCCACGGCCACGTCTACATCCACGTCCACGTCCACGTCCACGACCACGTCCACGTCCACGTCCACGACCACGTCCACGACCACGTCCACGTCCACATCCACGTCCACGACCACGTCCACGTCCACGTCCACGTCCACGTCTAGGTCCACGTCCACGTCCACGTCCACGTCCACGACCACGTCCACGTCCACGACCACGTCCACGTCCACGTCCGTGTCCACGTCCACGTCCACGTCCAAATCCAAGTCCACATCCACGTCCACGTCCACGACCACGTCCACGACAACGTCCACGTCCACGTCCACGTCCAAGTCCAAGTCCACGTCCACGTCCACGTCCACGACCAGGTCCACGTCCACGTCCACGTCCACATCCACGTCCAAGTCCACGTCCACGTCCTCCACGTCCACGTCCACGTCCACCACGTCCACGACCACGTCCACCTCCACGTCCACGTCCACGTCCACGACCACGTCCACGTCCACGTCCCCGTCCACGTCCACGTCCACGTCCATGACCACGTCGACGTCCACGTCCACGGCCACGTCTACGTCCATGTCCACGTCCACAACCACGTCTACGTCCACGTCCACGTCCACGTCCACGTCCATGTCCACAGCCAAGTCCACGTCCACGTCCACGTCCACGTCCACGTCCACGTCCACGACCACGTCCACGTCCACGTCCACGTCCACGTCCACGTCCACGGCCACGTCCACGTCCACGGCCACGTCTACGTCCACGTCCACGTCCACGTCCACGACCACGTCCACGTCCACGTCCAGGTCCACGTCCATGTTCACGTCCAAGTCCACGTCCACGTCCACGACCACGTCCACGTCCACGTCCACGTCCTCTAAGTCCACGTCCACGTCCACGACCACGTTCACGTCCACGACCACGTCCACATCCACGACCACGTCCACGTCCACGTCCACGACCACGTCCACGACCACGACCACGTCCACGTCCACGTCCACGTCCACGACCACGTCCACGTCCACGTCCACGTCCACGTCTAGGTCCACGTCCACGTCCACGTCCACATCCACGACCACGTCCACGTCCACGTCCACGACCACGTCCACGACCACGACCACGTCCACGTCCACGTCCACGTCCACGACCACGTCCACGTCCACGTCCACGTCCACGTCTAGGTCCACGTCCACGTCCACGTCCACGACCACGTCAACGACCACGTCCGTGTCCACGTCCACGTCCACGTCCAAGTCCAAGTCCACGTCCACGTCCACGTCCACGACCACGTCCACAACAACGTCTACGTCCACGTCCACGTCCAAGTCCAAGTCCACGTCCATGTCCACGTCTACGACCAGGTCCACGTCCACGTCCAGGTCCACATCCACGTCCAAGTACACGTCCTTGTCTTCCACGTCCACGTCCACGTCCTCCACGTCCACGTCCACGTCCACCACGTCCACGACCACGTCCACCTCCACGTCCACGTCCACGTCCACGACCACGTCCACGTCCACGTCCCCGTCCACGTCCACGTCCACGTCCATGACCACGTCCACGTCCACGTCCACGGCCACGTCTACGTCCACGTCCACGTTCACGACCACGTCTACGTCCACGTCCACGTCCACGTCCATGTCCACGGCCAAGTCCACGTCCACGTCCATGTCCACGTCCTCCAAGTCCACGTCCACGTCCACGTCCACGTCCACGACCACGTCCACATCCACGACCACGTCCACGACAACGTCCACGACCACGTCCACGTCCACGTCCATGACCACGTCCACGTCCACGTCCACGGCCACGTCTACGTCCACGTCCACGTTCACGACCACGTCTACGTCCACGTCCACGTCCACGTCCATGTCCACGGCCAAGTCCACGTCCACGTCCATGTCCACGTCCTCCAAGTCCACGTCCACGTCCACGTCCACGTCCACGACCACGTCCACATCCACGACCACGTCCACGACAACGTCCACGACCACGTCCACGTCCACGTCCACGACCACGTCCACGTCCACGTCCACGACCACGTCCACGTCCATGTCCACGTCCACGTCCATGACCACGTCCACGTCCACGTCCACGTCCACGTCTAGGTCCACGTACACGTCCACGTCCACGTCCATGTCCACGACCACGTCCACGACCACGTCCACGTCCACGTCCACGTACAAGTCCAAGTCCAAGTCCTCGTCAACGTCCTCCACGTCCACGTCCTCCACGTCCACGTCCACGTCCACGTCCACGTCCTCCACGTCCACGTCCACGTCCACGTCCTCCACGTCCACGTCCACGTCCACGTCCACGTCCACGACCACGTCCATGTCCACGTCCACGTCCACGTCCACGTCCACGTCCACGACCACGTCCACGTCCAAGACCACGTCCACGTCCACGACCACGTCCACGTCCACGACCACGTCCACGTCCACGTCCACGTCCACGTCTAGGTCCACGTACACGTCCACGTCCACGTCCATGTCCACGACCACGTCCACGACCACGTCCACGTCCACGTCCACGTCCAAGTCGAGGTCCAAGTCCACGTCCACGTCCTCCACGTCCACGTCCACGTCTACGTCCACCACATCCATGACCATGTCCACCTCCACGTCAAAGTCCACGTCCACGTCCACGTCCACCACGTCCACGTCCACGTCCACATCCACGACCACGTCCACGACCACGTCCACAACCACGTCCACGTCCACGTTCAGGTCCACGTCCACGACCACGTCCACGTCCACGTCCACGACCACGTCCACGTCCACGTCCACGACCACGTCCACAACCACGTCCATGTCCACGTCCACGTCCACGTCCACGTCAAAGTCCACGTCCACGTCCAGGTCCACGTCCACGTCCTCGTCCTCCACGTCCACGTCCACAGCTACGTCCACGACCACGTCCACGTCCACGTCCACCACGTCCACGACCACGTCCACCTCCACGTCCACGTCCATGTCCACGTCCAAGTCCACGTCCACGACCACGTCCACGTCCACGTCCTCCACGTCCACGTCCACGTCCACCACGTCCACGACCACGACCACGTCCACGTCCACATCCACGTCCACATCCACGGCCACTTCCACGTCCCCGTCCATGTCCACGTCCACGACCACGTCCACGTCCACGTCTACGTCCACGGCCATGTCCACATCCAAGTCCATGTCCACGTCCACGTCCACGACCACGTCCACGTCCTCCAAGTCCACGTCCACGTCCACGTCCACGTCCACGACCACGTCCACGACCACGTCCACGTCCACGTCCACGTCCACATGCACGACCACGTCCACGTCCACGTCCACGACCACGTCCACGTCCACGTCCACGACCACGTCCACGTCCACGTCCACGACCACGTCCACGTCCACGTCCACGTCCACGTCTAGGTCCACGTCCACGTCCACGTCCACGTCCACGACCACGTCCACGACCACGTCCGTGTCCACGTCCACGTCCACGTCCAAGTCCAAGTCCACGTCCACGTCCACGTCCACGACCACATCCACGACAACGTCCACGTCCACGTCCACGTCCAAGTCCAAGTCCACGTCCACGTCCACGTCCACGACCAGGTCCACGTCCACGTCTACGTCCACATCCACGTCCAAGTCCACGTCCTCGTCCTCCACGTCCACGTCCACCACGTCCACGACCACGTCCACCTCCACGTCCACGTCCACGTCCACGTCCACGACCACGTCCACGTCCACGTCCCCGTCCACGTCCACGTCCACGTCCACGTCCATGACCACGTCCACGTCCACGTCCACGACCACATCCACGGCCACGTCTACGTCCACGTCCACGACCACGTCTACGTCCACGTCCACATCCACGTCCACGTCCACGTCCACGTCCACATCCACGACCACGTCCACGTCCACGTCCACGTCCACGTCCACGTCCACATCCACGTCCACGTCCACGTCCACATCCACGACCACGTCCACGTCCACGTCCACGACCACGTCCAGGTCCACGTCCACGACCACGTCCAGGTCCACGTCCATGACCACGTCCACGTCCACGTCCACGTCTAGGTCCACGTACTTGTCCACGTCCACGTCCACGTCCACGACCACGTCCACGACCACGTCCACGTCCACGTCCACGTCCAAGTCCAAGTCCTCGTCCACGTCCACGTCCACGTCCACGTCCACGTCCATGTCCACGTCCAAGTCCACGTCCTCGTCCACGTCCACGTCCACGACCACGTCCACGTCCACGTCCACGTCCTCCAAGTCCACGTCCACGTCCACGTCCACGTCCACGACCACGTCCAACTCCACGTCCACGTCCATGTCCACGTCCACGACCACGTCCACGTCCACGTCCACGTTCACGTATCAGTAGAGCTACACTGTGAGATCCCCGATCGATCCTAGGGGGGGTTACAGGCGCGTTTGCCTGGGGGGTTATGGGTGCACTGACCCGCTACTGAAACAAGCCCTTTTATCCCAATGGTCAAGTGGTTGGGATTCTGACATCACGTCCACGTCCACGACCACGTCCACGTCCACATCCACGTCCAGGTCCACGTCCACGTCCACGTCCACGACCACGTCCACGTCCAAGACCACGTCCACGTCCAGGTCCACGTCAACGTCCACGTCCTCCACGTCCACGTCCACGTCCACCACGTCCACGACCACGTCCACCTCCACGTCCACGTCCACGTCTATGTCCACAACCACGTCCACGTCCACGTCCACGTCCACGTCCACGTCCACGTCCACGTCCTCCAAGTCCACCTCCACGTCCACGTCCACGTCCACGACCACGTCCACATCCACGACCACGTCCACGACAACGTCCACGACCACGTCCACGTCCACGTCCACGACCACGTCCACGTCCACGACCACGTCCACGTCCATGTCCACGTCCACGTCCATGACCACGTCCACGTCCACGTCCACGTCTACGTCTAGGTCCACGTACACGTCCACGTCCACGTCCATGTCCACGACCACGTCCACGACCACGACCACGTCCACGTCCACGTCCAAGTCCAAGTCCAAGTCCTCGTCGACGTCCTCCACGTCCACGTCCATGTCCACGTATTCCACGTCCACGTCCACGTCCACGTCCTCCACGTCCACGTCCACGTCCACGTCCACAACCACGTCCACGTCCATGTCCACGTCCACGTCCACGTCCACGTCCACGTCCACGACCACGTCCACGTCCACGACCACGTCCACGTCCATGTCCACGTCCACGTCCACGACCACGTCCACGTCCACGTCCACGTCCACGTCCACGTCTAGGTCCACGTACACGTCCACGTCCACGTCCATGTCCACGACCACGTCCACGACCACGTCCACGTCCACGTCCACGTCCAAGTCCAGGTCCAGGTCCACGTCCACGTCCTCCACGTCCACGTCCACGTCTACGTCCACCACATCCACGACCACGTCCACCTCCACGTCAAAGTCCACGTCCACGTCCACGTCCACCACGTCCACGTCCACGTCCACGTCCACGACCACGTCCACGACCACGTCCACAACCACGTCCACGTCCACGTTCAGGTCCACGTCCACGACCACGTCCACGTCCACGTCCACGTCCATGACCGCGTCCACGTCCACGTCCACGACCACGTCCACAACCACGTCCACGTCCACGTCCACGTCCACGTCCACGTCCACGTCAAAGTCCACGTCCACGTCCAGGTCCACGTCCACGTCCTCGTCCTCCACGTCCACGTCCACGTCTACGTCCACGACCACGTCCACGTCCACGTCCACCACGTCCACGACCACGTCCACCTCCACGTCCACGTCCATGTCCACGTCCAAGTCCACGTCCACGACCACGTCCACGTCCACGTCCTCCACGTCCACGTCCACGTCCACCACGTCCACGACCACGACCACGTCCACGTCCACGTCCACGTCCACGTCCACGGCCACGTCCACGTCCACGGCCACGTCCACGTCCCCGTCCATGTCCACGTCCACGACCACGTCCACGTCCACGTCTACGTCCACGGCCATGTCCACATCCAAGTCCATGTCCACGTCCACGTCCACGACCACGTCCACGTCCACGTCCTCCAAGTCCACGTCCACGTCCACGACCACGTCCACGACCACGTCCACGACCACGTCCACGTCCACGTCCACGTCCACATGCACGACCACGTCCACGTCCACGTCCACGACCACGTCCACGTCCACGTCCACGACCACGTCCACGTCCACGTCCACGACCACGTCCACGTCCACGTCCACGTCCACGTCCACGTCTAGGTCCACGTCCACGTCCACGTCCACGTCCACGACCACGTCCACGACCACGTCCGTGTCCACGTCCACGTCCACGTCCAAGTCCAAGTCCACGTCCACGTCCACGTCCACGACCACATCCACGACAACGTCCACGTCCACGTCCACGTCCAAGTCCAAGTCCACGTCCACGTCCACGTCCACGACCAGGTCCACGTCCACGTCCACGTCCACATCCACGTCCAAGTCCACGTCCTCGTCCTCCACGTCCACGTCCACGTCCTCCACGTCCACGTCCACGTCCACCACGTCCACGACCACGTTCACCTCCACGTCCACGTCCACGTCCCCGTCCACGACCACGTCCACGTCCACGTCCCCGTCCACGTCCACGTCCACGTCCACGTCCATGACCACGTCCACGTCCACGTCCACGGCCACATCCACGGCCACGTCTACGTCCACGTCCACGACCACGTCTACGTCCACGTCCACATCCACGTCCACGTCCACGACCACGTCCACATCCACGACCACATCCACGACAACGTCCACGTCCACGTCCACGTCCACATCCACGACCACGTCCACGTCCACGTCCACGACCACGTCCACGTCCACGACCACGTCCACGTCCACGTCCACGTCCATGACCACGTCCACGTCCACGTCCACGTCCACGTCCACGTCTAGGTCCACGTACACGTCCACGTCCACGTCCACGACCACGTCCACGACCACGTCCACGTCCACGTCCACGTCCAAGTCCAAGTCCTCGTCCACGTCCACGTCCACGTCTACGTCCACGTCCATGTCCACGTCCAAGTCCACGTCCTCGTCCACGTCCACGTCCACGACCACGTCCACGTCCACGTCCACGTCCTCCAAGTCCACGTCCACGTCCACGTCCACGTCCACGACCACGTCCAACTCCACGTCCACATCCATGTCCACGTCCACGACCACGTCCACGTCCACGTCCACGTTCACGTATCAGTAGAGCTACACTGTGAGATCCCCGATCGATCCTAGGGGGGGTTACAGGTGCGTTTGCCTGGGGGGTTATGGGTGCACTGACCCGCTACTGAAACAAGCCCTTTTATCCCAATGGTCTAGTGGTTGGGATTCTGACATCACGTCCACGTCCACGACCACGTCCACGTCCACATCCACGTCCAGGTCCACGTCCACGTCCACGTCCACGACCACGTCCACGTCCAAGACCACGTCCACGTCCACGTCCAGGTCCACGTCAACGTCCACTTCCTCCACGTCCACATCCACGTCCACCACGTCCACGACCACGTCCACCTCCACGTCCACGTCCACGTCCATGTCCACGTCCACGTCCACGTCCACGTCCATATCCACGTCCACGTCCACGACCACGTCCACATCCACGACCACGTCCACGACAACGTCCACGTCCACGTCCATGTCCACATCCACGACCACGTCCACGTCCACGTCCACGTCCACGTCCACGTCCACGACCACGTCCACGTCCACGTCCACGTCCATGACCACGTCCACGTCCACGTCCACGTCCACGTCTAGGTCCACGTACACGTCCACGTCCACGTCCACGTCCACGACCACGTCCACGACCACGTCCACGTCCACGTCCACGTCCAAGTCCAAGTCCTCGTCCACGTCCACATCCACGTCCACGTCCACGTCCACGTCCATGTCCACGTCCAAGTCCACGTCCTCGTCCACGTCCACGTCCACGACCACGTCCACGTCCACGTCCACGTCCACGTCCTCCAAGTCCACGTCCACGTCCACGTCCACGACCACGTCCAACTCCACGTCCACGTCCATGTCCACGTCCACGACCACGTCCACGTCCACGTCCACGTTCACGTATCAGTAGAGCTACACTGTGAGATCCCCGATCGATCCTAAGGGGGGTTACAGGCGCGTTTGCCTGGGGGGTTATGGGTGCACTGACCCGCTACTGAAACAAGCCCTTTTATCCCAATGGTCTAGTGGTTGGGATTCTGACATCACGTCCACGTCCTCGACCACGTCCACGTCCACATCCACGTCCAGGTCCACGTCCACGTCCACGTCCACGACCACGTCCACGTCCAAGACCACGTCCACGTCCACGTCCAGGTCCACGTCAACGTCCACGTCCTCCACGTCCACGTCCACGTCCACCACGTCCACGACCACGTCCACCTCCACGTCCACGTCCACGTCCAGGTCCACGTCCACGTCCACGTCCACGTCCACGTCCACGTCCACGTCCACGACCACGTCCACGTCCACCACCACGTCCACGTCCATGACCACGTCCACGTCCACGACCACGTCCACGTCCACGTCCACGACCACATCCAGTTCCACGTCCACGTCCACGTCCACGTCCACGTCCACGACCACGTCCACGTCCACGTCCACGTCCACGACCACGTCCTCGTCCACGTCCTGATCCACGACCACGTCCACGTCCACGTCCTCGTCCACGACCACGTCCAGGTCCACATCCACGTCCACGACCACGTCCACGTCCACGTCCTCGTCCACGACCACGTCCACGTCCACGACCACGTCCATGTCTACGACCACGTCCAAGTCCACGTCTACGTCCACGTCCACGACCACGACCACGTCCACGTCCACGTCCACGACCAAGTCCACGTCCACGTCCACGTTTAGGTCCACGTCCACGTCCAGGTCCACGTCCACGACCACGTCCACCTCAACGTCCATGTCCACGACCACGTCCACGTCCATGTCCAGGTCCACGTCCACGTCCACGTCCACGACCACGTCCATGTCGACGACCACGTCCACGTCCAGGTCCAGGTCCAGGTTCACGTCCACGTCCAGGTCCACGTCCACGACCACGTCCACGTCCACGTCCACGACCATGTGCACGTCCACGTCCACGTCCACGTCCAGGTCCACGTCCACGTCCACGTCCACGTCCACGACCACGTCCACGTCCACGACCACGTCCACGTCCACGTCCACGTCCACGACCACGACCACGTCCACGTCCACGACCACGTCCACGTCCACGACTACGTCTACGACCACGTCCACGTCCACGTCCATGTCCACGTCCACGTCCACGTCTACGACCACGTCCACGTCCACGTCCACGTCCTCCACGTCCACGTCCACGTCCTCCACTTCCACGTCCACGTCCACGTCCTCCACGTCCACGTCCACGTCCTCCAAGTCCACGTCCACGTCCATGTCCAAGTCCACGTCCACGTCCACATCCACGTCCAGGTCCACGTCCACGTCCACGTCCACGTCCTCCACGTCCACGTCCACGTCCTCCACGTCCACGTCGACGTTCACGTCCAAGTTTACGTCCACCTCCACCTCCACGTCCAGGTCCACGTCCGCGTCCACGTCCGCGACCACGTCCACGTCCACGTCCACGACCAGGTCCACGTCCAAGTCCACGTCCACGTCCAGGTCCACGTCCAGGTCCACGTCCACGTCCACGTCTACGACCACGTCCACGTCCACGTCCACGTCCAGGTCCACGACCACGTCCACGTCCACGTCCACGACCACGTCCATGTCCCCGTCCACGTCCACGTCCAAGTCCAACTCCACGTCCACGTCCACGTCCACGACCACGTCCACGACCACGTCCAGGTCCACGACCACGTCCACGTCCACGTCTACGTCCAGGTCCACGTCGACGTCGATGTCCACGTCCACGTCCACGTCCAAGTCCTCGTCCACGTCCATGTCCACGTCCACGTCCAGGTCCACGTCCACGTCCACGTCCACGTCCACGCCCACGTCCATGTCCACGTCCACGACCACGTCCACGTCCACGTCTACGTCCACGTCTACGTCCAGATCCACGTCCACGTCGATGTCCACGTCCACGTCCACGTCCAAGTCCACGTCCACGTCCATGTCCACGTCCACGTCCACGTCCACGTCCACGTCCACGTCCACGTCCACGTCCACGACCACGTCCACGTCCACGACCACGTCCACGTCCACGTCCAGGTCCTGGTCCACGTCCACGACTACGACTACGTCCACTTCCACGTCCACGTCCACGACCACGTCCACTTCCACGTCCACGTCCACGACCACGTCCACGTCCAAGTCCATGTCCACGTCCACGTCCACGTCTAGGTCCACGTCCACGTCCACGTCTACGTCCACGACCACGTCCACGTCCACGTCCACGTCCACGACCACGTCCACGTCCACGTCCACGTCCACGTCTAGGTCCAGGTCCACGACCACGTCCACGTCCACGTCCAGGTCCAGGTCCACGTCCACTTCCACGTCCACGATTACGTCCACGTCCACGTCCACGACCACGTCCACGTCCACGTCCACGTCCATGTCCACGTCCACGTCCACGTCCACGTCCATGTCCACGTCCACGTCCACGTCCACGTCCACGTCCACGTCCACGACCACGTCCACGACCACGTCCACGTCCATGTCCACGTCCACGACCACGTCCACGACCACGTCCACGTCCCCATTGGTACATCAGCATAATGCCGACGCATTACGATGCACCCATTGGTGCTTCAGCACCATGCCGATGCGCGCCGATAAATTAATTGGTGCATCAGTACCATGCCGACGCACGCCGATGCATGCCATGCTGACGCACGCCGATGCATGCCTTGGTGCATCAGCACTATGCCGATATGTGCTGATGCATCGTATGGTGCATCAACATCATGCCGACGTGCGTCAATGCATCCATTGGTGCATTGGCACCATGCCGTTGTGCGCCGATGCATGCCTTGGTGCATCGGTGTCAGAACATTATAGCTCATGCATATTGTGTAGGCTATAGTGGGGTAGCCCATAAGGGGTACAACCCAATTAGGGTTAGTACTTGTACCCAATTCATTCATAGTTCATTCATTCTCGTTTCTTCTCATGGTATCGAGCAGGTTCCCTAACGGGAACGATTCCTAGGGCCCACCACTACGAAATTTTTTTTTCCTGCCCGTAGCGCGCTCCGCTTAGGCCCGAGTCGCGCCTCGTGTGCTTTCCTTACCGTCGCGCCCTCGCTAGGCCCCTCACGGCCCCGTCGCGTCGCCCTTAGCGGCCCCTCGTGGCCTCGTCGCGCTGCCCTAGCGGTCGCGTCGAGCCGCCCTAACGGCCGCGTCGCGCCGCCCTAGCCGCCCTCACGGCCCCTTAGCGGCCTCTTGCGGCCCCGATCCACCGCCCTTGCGGCCCCGATCCGCCGCCCTTCGCGGCCCGTCGCCGCTCTCCCCCTGCGGCCCCCTTCGGCGCCCTTTCACCAGCGGCCCCGTCGCCGCCCTTGCACGGCCCTGCCGCCGCCCTCGCTGCGGCTCTGTCGCCGCCCTCTTCAGCGGCCCGTCGCCGCCCTTCTCAGCGGCCCCGCCGTCTCCTTTCAGCGGCCCTGCCACTACCCCTGCAGCAGCCTCGTCGCCGCCCTTTCAGCGGCCCCGCCGCCTCCTTTAAGCGGCCCCACCGCCTCCTCTCGGCGGCCCCGCCGCCTCCTCTCCGCGGCCCCGCCGCCTCCTCTCAGCGGCCCCGCCGCCTCCTCTCCGCGGCCCCGCCGCCTCCTCTCGGCGGCCCAGCCGCCTCCTCTGAGCGGCCCCGGACGCCGCCCTCTCAGCGGCCCTTCCGCCGCCTCCTTTGCAGCCCCGCCGAGCCGCCCAGCAGCAGAGCCGCCGAGCCGCCCAGCAGCCGAGCCCCGAAGCCGCCCAGCAGCCGAGCCGCCGAGCCGCCCAGCTGCCGAGCCGCCTACCGCCCAGCTGCCGAGCCGCCGAGTCGCCCTGCAGCCGAGCCGCCCGAGCCGCCCTGTCTGGTAAGAGCAGCGCCTCTGTCACTGCACTGCCCTCACCCTACTGTTCGCGCTGCTAGTCTACTGCTGTCATGGCTACCCCTAGTGTCCTCGCTTTTGACGCTGAGGGTTGGGCCATTGACTTTTATGTCTGGATAGATGACCTGCAGCTTTTCTTATAGTGCGATAGGGCGGACGCACTCTCTCTCTTTGACCTCACCTCAGGTGCCTCTCCTGCCCCTGCTGCTGATGCTGACGCCACTGTCCGCTCACAGTGGGCCACGCGCGATGCTGCTGCACGTATTGCTATGCGTCACCACCTGCCTACCTCTGAGCGTGCGCACTTTAGCCAGTACAAGAGTGCTCAGACCTTGTACGACGCTGTAGTTGCACGCTACTCCTCCCCTGCCACTGCTGCACTGAGCCGCCTCATGCTACCGTACCTCTTCCCTGACCTTGCTGCCTTTCCCACAGTCGCTGACCTCATTACGCACCTCCGCACTAGTGACACTCGCTACCGCGCTGCGCTTCCTGCTGAGTTCTGCGCCAAGAACCCCCCCCCCCCATGTACATCACCCTCTACTGCATAGTCACCGGCCTCCCTGACTCCCTTCGCATAAACAGGGACCACTTTCTCTCAGTCTGTCCCACCACTCTCATTGTTGACCTCCTTGAGAAGGCCCTCCTAGCAGCGGAGAAGAGCATAGTCGCTGTAGGAGCCTCTCGTGGTGACCCGCGCACCCCCATCTTTGAGGGGTGTTCCCCCTCCCCCCTTTTGCCCTCTGTTGCCTCTGCTGCTGTGGCCGACCTCGTTGGCCTTGAGTCGGTCGGTGCGGCGTCTACCCCTACAGGGAGATGCCGCTCTAGCAAGGGCAAGGGGGGCAGGGGCGCTGGAGGAGCTAGCGGGGGCGGTGGAGGCGGCGGTGGAGGCGGCGGAGGGAGTGGGGGTGGCGGTGGGGGTGGTGGCGGGGGTGGAGGTGTCCGTGGCGGCAGTGGAGGCGGAGGTGGCGGCGGTGGCGGAGGGAGCGGAGGTGGTGGAGGTGGCGGAGGTGGAGGAGGCGGTGGCGGAGGAGGAGGAGGAGGAGGTCGTGGCTCTTCGAAGAGGAGTGGCTCCGGTGGTGGTCAGCGCCAGCAGCAGCAGCGCAATCGGGAGACCCTGTCCCCTCACCAGCTCCGTGAGTGGTACGCTGCACGCCAGCGGGGTGGGGGTACTGGTCCGTGCACCTACGTCCTGCGCACCGGCGACCGTGCGGGTGAGCAGTGTGGGGGTGCGTACCCCACCCAGCGCTGCTTTGGCCGCCTGACGGACGCTTGGCGTTACCAGTTCCCTTAGGCCACTTAGATCCCTCGCTGGGGCGAACTGTCTAGGGCAGGGGTAGCTATCTTTGACCTTGACTTTGATGCTATTCTTGCTGCTATGTATACTGTGTCTATTAGTGAGGAGGGTGACTGTTACCGGTGTTTCCCGCTCGACCCGGACATTGAGCCTGCTGCTCTAGGTGCTGGTGAGGCTGCTGCTCTTGGTGCTAGCAAGGCTGCTGCTCTAGGTGCTAGTGCGTCTGCTTCCTCCGGTACTGGTGAGTCTGCACTCTCAGGTACTGCGTCGGCTTTGGCCTCCCACACCTTCACACTTGACTCGGGGGCTTCTCGCTCCTTCTTTCGAGACCGCACCACACTCACGCCGCTTGGTCGGCCAGTTGCGGTCTCCCTGGCAGACCCCTCTGGGGGTCGTGTCCTTGCTCACTTCTCCACTGTCCTCCCTTGTCCAGCGGCCCCCTCTGGCACCCTGTCTGGTCTTTACCTCCCCTCGTTCTCGACGAACTTGGTGAGTGGTGCTGACCTACAGGATGCGGGGGTTCACCAGTTCACTCCTGCGCGTCAGCGGGTGACCCACTGCACGGACGCTCGGACAGGCCGACACCTGGCCACATTTACACGTCGGCCGGGGTCGAGCCTGTACACACTGACCACTGCGTCTCCTCCAATCCCTGCGTCTGGTCAGGTAGCTGCGTCGGGTCAGGTGTTAGCTGCAGCGTCCAGGTCTGGTCCTGAGTCTTCCCCCTGCTCGTGTCGCCTCCTGTCTCACGAGACTCTCCTCTGGCACCACCGCCTTGGTCACCCCTCCTTGCTTCGTCTCCGAAGCATGGCCTCCCGTGTCCTTGTCTCTGGTCTTCCCCGGTCCCTCCCTCCCCTTCCTCCGGGGCCTGGCCCTACCTGCGTCCCCTGTGTCGAGGGGCGGCAGCGGGCTACCCCTCACTCCTCCCTGTTTCCTCCGACAGAGGCCCCACTGCAGACGCTTCACATGGACGTGTGGGGCCCAGTACGCGTCCGTGGACAGGGTCACGAGAGCTACTTCCTGCTGGTGGTTGACGACTACTCGCGTTACACCACAGTCTTCCCCTTGCGCAGCAAGGGTGATGTCACTGAGGTGTTGATCGACTGGATCCGCGCAGCTCGTCTCCAGCTCAGGCGGAGCTTCGGCTCAGACTTTCCTGTTCTGCGTCTGCACTCTGACAGAGGCGGAGAGTTCTCCTCTGGCCTTCTGCGAGCCTACTGTCGTGCATGAGGCATCCGCCAGACCTTCACGCTTCCGGACTCTCCACAGCAAAATGGGATTGCTGAGCGCCGCATTGGCATGGTCATGGACGTCGCCCGTACGTCCATGATGCATGCGGCTGCCCCCCATTTTCTGTGGCCGTTTGCGGTTCGGTACGCGGCGCATCAGATCAACCTTCAGCGCAGGGTCTCCATGCCGGAGACCTCCCCCGCTTTGCTGTGGTCGGGGAAGGTTGGCGATGCGTCTGCGTTCCGTGTCTGGGGATCTCGGGCGTTTGTCCGCGACTTGTCTGCGGACAAGCTGTCCCCTCGTGCTGCTCCTTGCGTCTTCCTGGGTTTCCCCCCTGACGCCCCAGGGTGGCACTTCTACCACCCCACATCTCGCCGTGTTCTGTCCTCCCAGGACGTCACGTTCAACGAGTCGGTCCCCTACTACCGCCTCTTCCCCTACCGCACTCCGTACCTCCCCCCGCCACCGCTCTTCCTTGTACCAGGTCCCCCCTCGGTAGACCCTCTCCCCCCTCATGGTCTTGCCCGTTCAGGTGTGTCCCAAGTAGACGCTGTTCAGCCTGTCGAGGTCGCTGGTGACTCTGGTGTTGCTTAGGCTGCTGAGCCTGGGGGTGCTGACTCTGGGGGTGCTGAGCGTGTGGGTGCTACGCCTGGGGGTGCTGAGCCTGAGGGTACTACGACTGGGGGTGCTGAGCCTGGGGGTGCTGAGTCTGGGGGTGCTGAGCCTGGGGGTGCTACGCCTGGGGGTGCTGAGCCTTGGGGTGCTGAGCCTGGGGGTGCTACGCCTGGAGGTGCTGAGCCTGGGGGTGTGGAGCTTGGGGGAGCTGGGCCTGGCGGTTCTCCGGGTGCTTCTTCTCGCCGGGAGCCACTCTCTCCACAGGAGCTGCGTGAGTGGTTTTCTTGGCGCTGGAGGCGAGCTGCTGGAGCTGGAGGTGCTGCGGGTACTGGAGGTTCTGTTGCTGCTGAAGGAGCTGGTGCCACGGGTCCCGTAGGTGCTCGTCCTGGGAGTACTGGAGCTGCTGGACCTGCGGGTACTTCTGGAGCTGGAGCTGCTGCGGGTGTTGGCGCGGAGGCTACTGCTGTCGGTCCTGGAGGCGGTCCTGCTGGGGGTACTACTGGTGCTGCTGGGGGTACTGGAGTTGGAGCTGCTACTGGTGCTGGTGCTGCCACTGGTGGTGCTGGTGCTGTCCCTGCTGTGTCTGGAGTCGCCGCGCGGCCTCAGCCGTACTTCGTTCCGCTCCTTCAACAGGTTCTTGGTCTCCCGTCTTCTACTGGTCCTCCTCCTCCCTTAGAGTGTCCACAGCCTGTCCCGTTGCAGTTACAGTTACAGCCGGCCTCCCCACTGCTTGCTCCGTCTCCCTACACTGGTCCTACTGGAGGTCTTGCTGAGCGTCATGAGCATGCGTCTCGCCCTGCATCGCCTGTCCGTGCTGCTCGCACTAGTGGTCGCGGTTCGCGTCAGCGTCCTCCTCTTATCCCTGGCACGCACCGGATGTCTCTGCGTCCGTCCACTGCTCCTCTGCGTGCCCCTTTGCCTTCTCCTCCTGAGTCTTCTCTTCCTGCTCTTGCCGACCCGGAGTCGGACTCTCTTCGTGCTGCCAGTCCTACTGTCACGCGTGTCCTTGCTACTGTTGTCACTGACCCTTCCTTTGAGTCCACTGCTGCGTCTGCCCTAGTTGCTGAGCTCGTCGACTTTGCTACTCGCTGTCGCCTAGACTACGCCGCCAGTCTTGTTGCTCAGTCTGACTCTGTCTGTTCTCCGTCCGTCGGGGGTGAGTGTGCCCTTGGCACGGACGTCCTTGAGGACAGGCAGGAGGAGTTCCAGTGCTTGGCCGCTGCTTCACCTCATCTCGTGTCCGTACTGCTTACCCTTGAGGGTGACCCGGATGCACTTGACATCCCGACTCCGCGCTCTTACGCAGAGGCGATAGAGGGTCCCTACTCCTCTCAGTGGCAGGCAGCTATGGACGCAGAGATGGCTTCCTGGAAGTCCACAGGCACCTACGTTGACGCTGTTCCCCCTCCTGGGGCGAACATCGTCAGTGGCATGTGGATTTTCAGGGTGAAGCGACCGCCGGGTTCTCCGCCTGTCTTCAAGGCGCGTTACGTGGCTCGTGGCTTCAGTCAGCGGCAGGGAGTTGACTACTTTCAGACCTTCTCTCCCACCCCGAAGATGACCACTCTTTGGGTACTGCTGCACATAGCTGCTCACCGTGACTACGAGCTACACTCTCTTGACTTCAGCACTGCTTTCTTGCAGGGCAGCCTGCACGAGGAGATCTGGCTGCGTCGCCCACCTGGTTTCACTGGGTCTTTTCCTCCTGGCACCCAGTGGAGCCTCCGGCGGCCAGTCTACGGTCTCCGCCAGGCACCGCGTGAGTGGCACGACACACTGAGGACTACACTTGCGGCTCTTGGGTTTGCTCCTTCTACTGCCGACCCACCGCTGTTTCTGCGCACCAACACTTCTTTGCCGCCGTTCTACATCCTCGTGTACGTCGACGACTTGGTCTTTGCCACAGCTGACACTGCTGGACTCGCCCACGTGAAGTCCGAGCTGCAGAAGAGACACACGTGCACTGACCTGGGTGAACTGCGCAGCTACCTTGGCTTGCAGATCACTCAGGACAGAGCACGCCGCACCATTACCCTGACTCAGTCACACATGGTGCAGCAGGTCCTTCAGCGCTTCCGCTTCACGTACTCCTCGCCTCAGGCCACTCCTCTGCCTACTCGCCACTCGCTCTCAGCTCTGCCTTCGGATGAGTCCGTAGAGTCGAGTGGCCCGTAGCCAGAGCTTGTTGGCTGCCTCATGTACCTGATGACCTGCACACGACCTGACCTTGCATACCCTCTTAGCATTCTTGCACGCTATGTTGCTCCTGGGAGACACAGACCGGAGCACATGGCTGGAGCGAAGAGGGTGTTGCGCTACTTGTGCAGTACATCGGGCATGGGGCTTGTGCTTGGAGGGTAGAGTCCAGTGGTCCTTACTGGGCACGCAGACGCTTCTTGGGCTGACAACCAGGCTACGCAGCGGTCGTCACAGGGTTACACCTTCAGCCTTGGTTCCGGCTCTGTTTCGTGGCGGGCTACTCGCTCGTCTTCTGTTCTCGGCTCCAGTTGTGAGGCTGAGATCTACGCAGGAGCCATGGCTGCACAGGAGCTTCGCTGGCTCACCTACCTGCTGACTGGCCTCGGAGAGCCGCCTCGTTCTCCTCCAGTGCTGTACGTAGACAACAAGGCCATGCTGGCCTTGTGTCAGGAGCAGCGACTAGAGCACAGAACGAAGCACATTGCTCTCCGCTACTTTCTTGCTCGTGAGCTGCAGCAGCGTGGTCAGCTGCGTCTTGCGTACGTGGCCTCTGGGGCCAACACTGCTGATATCTTCACCAAGGCGCTTGCGCCTTTTGACCTTCAGCGCTTCTGTACTCAGCTGGGCCTTGTGCCTACCTTGCCTCACTTGCTCACCTCTTGACCTTGCTTGTACTGTTACATATATATATACCTGCTCTTGCTTGTCTACCCTTTTTATATATATGTACTCCTGCATGTGAACTGGCCTTGTGGCCTTGAACTTGTGCTCGGAATGTGTGGTGACTTTGTGATCCACCCTGAGCTTGCTTTGCTTTGCTTTGCTTGACTGGTCTTGTGACCCCTTGTTCTCCCCAACTTTGCCTATGGGGGTGTGTCTGAACATTATAGCTCATGCATATTGTGTTTGCTATAGTGGGGTAGCCCATAAGGGGTACAACCCAATTAGGGTTAGTTCTTGTACCCAATTCATTCATAGTTCATTCATTCTCGTTTCTTCTCAATCGGCACCTTACCCATGTGCGCGGATGCATCCATAGGTGCATCCGCACCATGCCGACGCACGCCGATGCCCCCATTGGTGCATCAGCTTCATGCCGATTTGCGCCGATGTATCCATTGGTGCATCGACACCATGTCGACGCACGCCGATGCACCCATGGGTGCTTGAGCACCATGCCGGTGCACGCCGATGGATCCATTGGTGCGTCGGCACCATCCCGATGCACGTCGATGCACATATTGGTGCATCAGCTATATGCCGATCCACACCGATGTATCCATTGGTGCTTCGGCACAATACCAACGCATGACGATGCACACATTGGTGCATCAGCGCCATGCTGATGCGCGCCGATGGATCCATTGGTGCATTAGTACCATGCCGACGCGCGCTGATGCATGCTTTGGTGCATTAGTACCATGCTGATGTGCGCCGATGCATCCTTTGGAGCATCGGCATCGTGCCAACGTGCGCCGATGCATCCATTGGTGCATCGGAACCCTGTTGTTGTGGGCCGATGGATCCATTAGTGCATCGGCACCATGTCAACGCACGCCGATGCACCCATTGGTGCATTCGCTTCATGCCGATCCGTGTCGATGTATCCATTAATGCATCGGCATCATGCTGATGCGCGCCGATGGATCTATTGGTGCATTAGTACCATGCCGACGCACGCCGATGCATGCCTTGGTGCATCAATACCATGCCGATGTGTGCTGGTGCATCCATTGGTGCATTGGCACCATGTCGTTATGCGCCGATGCATGCCTTGGTGCATCGGCACCTTGCCCATGTCCGCCGATGCATCTAGGGGTGCATCGGCACCATGCCAACGCACGACGATGCACCCATTGTTGCATCAGCTTCATGCCGATTTGCACCGATGTATCCTTTTGTGCATCGGCACCATGCCGATGCATGCCAATGCACTGATGGGTGCTTCTGAACCATGCTGATGCGCGCCCTAAACCCTAAACCGATGTCCATTACCGTGCGTCGGCACGGTGCGTTGGCATGGTGCGTCGGCTGTGAAATGAGTGAACAGGAATGAAATGACTAAGTCAGAGTTGGGTACAAATACAACCCTAGAAAGCTGTACCCCATATGTGCTACCCCACTATAGCCTACAAACATGCACCAGTTATAATTCTCTGACACACCCCCATAGGCAAAGTGGGGGAGAACAAGGGGTCACAAGACCAGTCAAGCAAAGCAAAGCAAAGCAAGCTCAGGGTGGATCACAAAGTCACCACACAGTCCGAGCACAAGAGCAGGGCCAGAGGCCAGTTCACATGCAGGAGGACAGACATATATATAAAACTAGACAAGCAAGAGCAGGTATATATATATGTCACAGTACAAGTGAAGTCAAGAGGAGAGCAAGTGAGGCAAGACAGGCACAAGACCCAGCTGGGTGCAAAAGCGCTGATGGTCACAAGGCGCGAGTGCCTTGGTGAACACATCAGCAGTGTTGGCCTCAGAGGCCACGTACGCAAGTCGCAACTGACCACGCTGGTGCAGCTCACGAGCAAGGAAGTAGCGGAGAGCAATGTGCTTCGTTCTGTGCTCCAAGCGCTGCTCTCGACACAAGGCCAGCATGGCCTTGTTGTCTACGTACAGCACTGGAGGAGAACGAGGCGGCTCTCCAAGGTCAATCAGCAGGTAGGTGAGCCAGCGAAGCTCCTGTGCAGCCATGGCCCCGGCGTAGATCTCAGCCTCACAACTGGAGCCGAGAACTGAAGACGAGCGAGTAGACCGCCACGAGACAGAGCCGGAACCAAGGCTGAAGGTGTAACCCTGAGACGACCGCTGCGTAGTTTGGTCGTCAGCCCAAGAAGCGTCCGCGTGGCCGGTAAGGACCACTGGACTCCGCCCTCCAAGCACTAGCCCCATCCCCGACGTACTGCACAGGTAGCGCAATACCCTCTTCGCTGCAGCCATGTGCTCTGGTCTGTGTCTCCCAGGAGCAACATAGCGTGCAAGAATGCTCAGAGGGTATGCAAGGTCAGGTCGTGTGCAGGTCATCTGGTACATGAGGCAGCCAACAAGCTCTGCATACGGACCACTTGACTCTACGGACTCATCCGAAGGCAGAGGTGAGAGTGAGTGGCGAGTAGGCAGAGGAGTGGCCTGAGGCGAGGAGTACGTGAAGCCGAAGCGCTGAAGGACCTGCTGCACCATGTGTGTCTGAGTCAAGGTAATGGTGCGGCGTGCTGTGTCCCGAGTGATCTGCAAGCCAAGGTAGCTGCGCAGTTCACCCAGGTCTGTGCACGTGTGTCTCTTCAGCAGCTCGGACTTCACGTAGGCGAGTCCAGCAGTGTCCGCTGTGGCAAAGACCAAGTCGTCGACGTACACGAGGATGTAGAACGGCGGCAGGGAAGTGTCGGTGCGAAGAAACAGCGACGGGTCAGCAGTAGAAGGAGCAAACCCAAGAGCCGCAAGCGTAGTCCTCAGTGTGTCGTGCCACTCACGCGGTGCCTGGCGGAGACCGTAGACTGGCCGTCGGAGGCTCCACTGGGTGCCAGGAGGGAAAGTCCCAGTGAAGCCAGGTGGACGGCGAAGCCAGATCTCCTCGTGCAGGCTACCCTGCAAGAACGCAGTGCTGAAGTCGAGAGAGTGAAGCTCGTAGTCGCGCTGCGCGGCTATGTGCAGCAGCACCCGAAGAGTAGTCATCTTCGGGGTGGGAGAGAAGGTCTGAAAGTAGTCAACTCCCTGCCGCTGACTGAAGCCACGAGCAACGTACCGCGCCTTGAAGACAGGTGGAGAGCCCGGCGGCCGCTTCACCCTGAAGATCCACATGCCACTGACGATGTTCGCCCCAGGAGGGGGAACCGCGTCAACGTAGGTGCCTGTGGACTTCCAGGAAGCCATCTCTGCATCCATAGCTGCCTGCCACTGAGAAGAGTAGGGACCCTCTACGGCCTCCGCGTAAGAACGTGGAGTCGGGATGTCTAGTGCATCCGGGTCTCCCTCACGGGCAAGCAGTACAGACGCGAGATGAGGTGAAGCAGCCGCTAGACACTGTAACTCCTCCTGCCTGTCCTCTAGGACGTCCGTGCCAAGAGCACACGCACCCCTGACGGACGGAGGACAGACAGACACAGACTCAGCAACAAGACTAGCAGCGTAGTCGAGACGACAGCGAGCAGCAAAGTCGACGAGCTCAGCGACTAGAGCAGACGCAGCAGTGGACTCAAAGGAGGGGTCAGTGACGACAGTAGCAAGCAGACGCGTGACAGTAGGACTGGCAGCACGAAGAGAGTCTGACTCAGGGTCGGCAAGCGCAGGAAGAGAGGACTCAGGAGGAGAAGGCAAAGGGGCACGCAGAGGAGCAGTGGACGGACGCAAAGACATCCGGTGCGTGCCAGGGACAGGAGGAGGACGCTCACGCGAACTGCGACCACTAGCGCGAGCAGCACGAACAGGCGACGCGGGACGAGACGCAGGCTCACGACGCTCAGCAAGACCTCCAGTAGGACCAGTGTAAGGAGAGGGAGCAGGCAGTGGAGAGGAAGGCTCCAGCAGGGACTGCGACTGGACAGGCGGTGGACCCTCTACGAGAGGAGAAAGACCAAGAACCTGCTGCAGGAGCGGAACGAAGTACGGCCGAGGCCGCGCGGCAGCTCTAGACTCAGCAGGGACAGCACCAGCACCCTCAGCGACAGCACCAGCGCCACCCACACCTCCAGTGGCAGGACCAACAGCAGTAGGCTCAGCACCGACGCCCTCAGCAGCTCCAGCTCCAGGAGGACCCGCAGGTCCAGCAGCTCCGGGACCGGCAGCACCCGCACCCTCGACGGTCGAAGAAGCCCCAGCTCCAGCTCCAGCAGCACCTCCAGACGCAGCAGCACGCCTCCAGCGGCGATCGAACCACTCGCGCAGCTCCTGTGGAGAGAGGGGCTCCCGGCGAGACGCAGCAGCAGGAGAAACCCCAGGCTCAGCAGCTCCAGACGCAGCACCCCCAGGCTCAGCAGCTCCCAGCACAGCACCCCCAGACCCAGCACCTCCAGGCACAGCACCCCCCGGCTCAGCACCCCCAGGCTCCGCACCCTCCGCAGCAGCACCCTCAGGCCCAGCACCCCCAGCAGTAGCACCCCCAGGCTCAGCACCCCCGCGCACAGCACCCCCAGAGTCAGCACCCCCAGGCTCAGCACCCGCAGCAGCACCAGAGTCACCAGTAACCTCGACCGGGTCAACGGCGTCTACCTGGGACACACCTGAGGGGGCAGGAACCTGAGGGGGGAGGGGGTCTACCGGGGGGGGAACCGGCACAAGGAAGTCCGGGGGAGGGGGGAGGGAAGGAGTGCGGTAGGGGAAGAGACGGTAGAAGGGGACTGACTCGTCGAACGTGACGTCCTGGGAGGACAGGACACGACGAGAGGAGGGGTGGTAAAACTGCCACCCTGGGGCGTCAGTGGGGAAGCCAAGGAAGACACAGGGAGCAGCACGAGGGGACAGCTTGTCTGCAGACAAGTCGCGGACAAACGCCCGAGATCCCCAGACACGGAACACAGACGCATCGCCAACCTTCCCCGTCCACAGCAAGGCTGGGGACATCGCAGGCCGAGAGACCCGGGGGTGAAGGTTGAGTTGATGCGCCGCGTACCTCACCGCAAACGGCCACAGAAAATGGGGGGCAGCCGCATGCATCATGGACG